CTTGACCATCAATGATTTATTTATAGAGGCACCAGCCATCCATGTCCAGGTGCTGTTTTAGCCTCTTTTTCCTGTCTGCGGATTAATAATATTTTGTTGCCAATTTATTGGTTCCGCTTCTATGTACCCCATATATATGGTTCTCAATGGTTTAACGCCCCTACGAACACTGTTATGTTATTTAAGAGGCCGGACCTCCGAGTTAAACGTCCATCTCCGAAAGGACCGAACCAAGTGGGAAGTTCGTATTAAGTGCCTTTCCCACGGACACAACGTCGGACCGAGCTGAGACTCGAACCCCGGGCCCGCAATCTCAATCTCACGATTACGAGTCCGGTAGCTTGACCACAAGGCTACCGAGGCCACCCGAAATGAAGTGATGCTGAAAGAAGCCAACGCGGGCCGCTCACTAATAAAAATAATTGGGAAGAGACACAACATACACGGTTTATGGGAGACTTGAGTTTCTCATTTTAAAGCCTTGAACACCTTCCTCTCTGTGGAAAAATAGAAGACAAAAGAGGTTAGGTAGACCACGAGCTGCTTTCTGTCCGTACGTCGTGTTTTACTATCGTATCCATACGACCTGGGAAACTCAGTGCTACCACTTTTCAAAGAGGAAATTTACTCGCTAATCCGATCTATAAGCTATGCATAGCAGTCTGTCAAAATGATTTATTTTTTTTTAGAAATACTGAAAGTTTCAAAGAAATCTTCGTACTAAAAGTATTCTAAAATTTGAAACATACAACCCTGGGGGTACAAAATGACCCCAGGGCGTACGGATAGAGTTAAACAACATGATTATATAGGCGTTGGTAATCAATCTAGTGGTGAGGCTACTGGCCTCGTAGTTCTAAGATTGCTGGTCTGAGGGCTCGAGCCCCAGGCCCGACTTTGTGTCTTTGGGAAAGGCACTTTACATGACCTTTCTAAGCTTCACCCAGGTGGGAATGGATACCCGGCTACAGACAACGAAAGATCTTTAAGTACATGTATGTTAGTGTTTAACACCTTTATAATGGCAACTTGCACTATATGCTTCCCAGGAAACTGAGATTGCTTCAGAATACGATCAGGTCTGCTGGGGTGATAATATTACAGATCGTAAAGCACATAGAGCTTGCTGTTGAATAGGAATTTGCGCTATACAAATACTATCTATTAGCAATATACTATAATATCGATGACGGGGAAAGACCCACGACAATGCAAGTTTTGGGAGCATTTGAGCAGGGACTGGCACTTCATTGTGACGACAACAAAAGTAACTTCATGGTGTCTAAAAAAAAACAAGAACCTATTTAATGGGCAATATCTCAAGTTGTCTTTGGGCCAATTTCAACAAAACTTTAAAAAATAATAATAGATAAATAAAATTCGACTAAAGGGTCGTCAAATCTTTATAAAGGAAAAAAATCAATCTGCACGTTCGAGAACAAATAAGTTTTTAAAAGATAAAATTACGTCGAAAGGCAAAACTTTACATCTTAAAAGTGTTCAGCTACAGAGGTGGGGTCGGCCTGAAATGGTTTCAGAAGGTGGACGGCAAAAGCACGATCTCCACATTATCTATATCTCTCTGAGCAGAAAAATTTATGGAGAAGTTGTTGTTGCTGTATTTGTTGTTGTTGTTGTTGTTGTTGTTGTTGTTGTTGTTGTTGTTGTTGTTGTTGTTGTTGTTGTTGTTGTTGTTGTTGTTGATGTAGTTGTTTTATGTATGTGTGTTGTTAGTTTCTTGTTGTTTTTGTTTTGCTTGTTTTTTGGTGGAAGGTGGATTATGTTATTTTCATTTTTTTCAATACGGGGCTATTGTTAAAAAAGCCTGATTCCAGCAGGCTAGGACCATACCCCACACACCATGGGCGATCCATGATGGTTGCAAAGAAGGTTTCGGGAACGCCTTACAGATCGAAAGCTTATGATAGAAATTGCTCATTCCTCTGACTTTAACCCCTTCGATTATTTCCTTGAAGTTTTTTTTACAGACAGGGTCTCGTGAAACAATCCACAAATAGTTAAACAGTTGAAAGCTGGTGTTGAACAGGAGACCCAGAAATATACCGCCCAGTTATTCAAAATGTCCAACGGTGTATTAGAGCTTGTCTAGAAAGCTGTCGTCAGCACTTGAAGCATGCAATTTAAATAACCACCACTTTGCCTATGTTTATTTAGTAATATATCGATTTCGTATAAATTAGTTTTTCAACGAAAAAAATAAATGAACATAATGGTTCTTTTTTTAGGAAGTTGCAAAGTTTTCCGTTTCACTCAGTTTTGGTATGGATTTTCAAACCTTGATATTTCTCGAACAAGTAGATAAATTTTCCTTGTGTTCACAAATTAATTTGACGTCCCCTTGTTAAAATTTTATTTTGGTTCAGGTTTTGTTGAAAGTGGTCCAAAGTTGACCGAGCTATTGTCATTTAATGAGTCCTTTCTTTCAGACACCCACCACTTAATCCTTTAGAACATCATGAATATTTTGCAAATTCCTCTTCTTCGAAATTACGTTGTTGAAAATTTTCCGCGAGATCCATGAATGGAACTCTTGGGGGCAAGTCTTGTTGATGAACGTCTAGCAAGTCCAGAATCATGGCCATGGCCTTCTCCGGCTGGTTTGTCAATTTCGTGTTCTCCAAACCTTTCGTCCAGCTGTTGTGGTAAGATGATAGTTTCTTGTACCTGGAATGAACAAGATCCGAACGAACAAGGTATTAAACGGGGGGGGTTTTTTTCATTTGCTGAAAGTTTTATTGAAATTGGCGAAAAGGTGACCGAGTAGGATGGAGGGGACGGATGAGGGGAGGGGTATTTAATTAATCGGGGTATTGTTACATATTTAAACATAATAAACGTTCACTTACTCTGTCCTTCTCTCTCTCTCTCTCTCTCTCTCTCTCTCTCTCTCTCTCTC